AATTTTAATATTATTTAATATTGCATAACTATAGGCAATAAAATCGAATAATATTGTATGTAAATTAAGAATTTTTATTGACGTTCAAAAGCCAAAACAAAAAAGGTTCTTCGAATGTATTAAACTAAAAATTGGTTCTTCGAATATAATTTGTTAAATTGACAAGGAATTTTGTAAAAATTATCAAAAACAAAATTGTCAAATAGGATTGAAAAATTGCTCAATTTTTCTTCGTGCAAAAAGTCATGCAGCTTATCATTTAATTTATCAGTTTTTGGAAATCTTTAATAATATTTTTCCTATACTATTTTAAATAATTTGCATGATTTCTTAAAGAAATATGTGCTCAATATACACATATGAAGGTAGTTGATATAATCGAATTTTTTTAAATAAAATCGTTATCTGAAGTATGTGTTATTGAATTTGAACAAAATGTGGAGGACAGAAACTGTGGAGTTTCAATAAATTTTATTAAAATTTGTAGTTGCAATAAATTGTTACCCATATATTTTCTTATATGCCATTATTTGGTCTGTTGAGCCATTAATAAAAAAAAATTTCTTAATAGTCTGCTACCAGATTTCAAATCTGGTATTAAAAATACAATAAAATAAAGAAATTCAGGTATGAGAATGAAATTTACTAGGAAAAGATTTTGGATTCTTAATCCATTAAGTTCTTTGCGATTAAAATTCTGTAATTTCGTTTGAGAACAAGACTACTTTTCTATCATTTATATTTATAGTATAGTTTACTATTATTTTTAGAATAAAGGGAATTTTTTTTTAGATTTTTGAATATTAGTCGTAAATCACACAATCAATTGAGCGTATATTAAATTTTTACTATCACAAATTAAGAAATTTGACAAATTGCCACCTTATTTGTGATTACGTTAACAATGACCTTCTCCTCACAACATCTTTTCATTTCTGTAATTCTAAATGAAATTTCATTGCAAGATAAATCAATACTTATTGTTGAAATTTATTTGGAGTAGGTAATTCCGATAATAACGTGCAAAAATAATGTTGAACCTGTGCAAACACAATTTTAAATTTTTATCATTATAATTTATTATAATTGTAATAAATCAAATCTTTTAATTTCAAATTTAATTCTAAATTACAAAAAAAAAAAATTATTTTCATAAAAAATTTTAATTTTTTTCACTTTCTACTATTTTTGAAAAAGAAGTGAAAAAAAAACTGCTCATTAGTTTCAATCTGCCAATCTGTTTGTCCAGCTGTTCGTCCGTAAACTGCCATGTTGTGACTATTTATATTATTTTATATATATAGAAAAGAAAGCCCACTTCATCTTTTACTGCAACGCAATTTAGTTAAAATGACAAAATGCCCGTTGAAATTTACCGTTATTTAAGATCTGTTTTATGAAAATTATGCTATTCGTTTTTCCTATGGACGATAAGTTTTAAGAGTCTGAAACTTTTGCAGCTTTGTGACAAATAAATAGTTTATTTCGTTAGAAATTAATTTTTGTCCACCTTCCCCATTTAAATTAAAACAAAACTTGAATTTTTAGCGCCTTATATTTCCAAAACTGCAGGATTTTCTAAATTTTTATAAAAGAAAACCCAAATTTCTTAACCGTTAAGTTTGATCGTTATGACAACGCTTCTTTTAGATTTTTTCTTCTGCTTATCCTAAATTTATGCAATTTTTTAAATTTTTTTGGTATACGAATAAGAGTAATTTAAACAATCTAGTTCTAGTAGATTAATTTCGAAAGCACTATTTTCATTTGTTCAAGGAAAAATGCTATTTTGCAAACCATTGCTTTGATTCAACTTTGTTATTATAAAATTAATTGAAATTGTTTTAAAAATTAAAAAGAAAAAAAAACGAGAAAAAAGTAAAGTTGACCGTGTCAACTCTGTGGCACCCATACGAATTTGTTATGCTACGTGCGAATAAATATGCCATAGCTGACTGCGGGATTGGTACTACTGAAGTTGTATGACAGCTACCAGAAGGAGCCAAGCAATTTCAACGACTTTTATCAAACACATTGGCCCTACTAATATATTTGCTTTTGTGAAATTTCAATATCACAGCTTTTATAGTTTCTGACGACATGACGGACGGACGGACGCACAGACAAAGCTAAATCAACTCACAATTCGATGCTGATTAAAAACATTCATTTGACTCTATATCTCAGACCGTTATTTCTTAGCGTTACAAACGGTAAGGCAAATTTAGTATACCCTTCGAACATACGTTCGTACAGGTATAAAGAGAAAAAAAAATTGTTGCATTATAATTTTGTTATTTACAAATCTAATTTGTCTTAATTTGTCGCACTGAAAAATTAATTTATGAAAAACCAAAAAAAAATATAAAATTTTGAAAAATGAGTTGAGTATTTTTTTAATCCTCATTTTTTCTACACATTGAAATATATCTATATGTAAAAGTATATAATTGGAATATTATGAATACATTGTACATGTTATCATTATCCTGCCATATTATTTACAATTTCTCTCTTATAATTTTTCAAACTTTTCGCATACAAATAAAAAATAAGAATAATAAAGTATTCAACTCTCATAGGATTCAAATCATAGGATATATTATAGTAAAAATTCATATTCAACGAAGAAATTTATTTTAAATTAGTTGGCTTAGTCAATTGTAGGATATTACTTGCACTAGAGAGATATTTAATTCGAGAGTGTTATAAAGATATCGTTATTTATATCACTGAGTTCAGAATAGCATAGAATGTGGTATAATTAAAACTGCACCATTATTGGTGTGATAATTGTGTATGTAATAAAATTTCATTAGCTGTTTTTTATTTTTCGCCATTTTAAATTTGCACAAAATTTTAAATTTTTTATTCAAATATTTTGTGATTTAATGTAAACTTAATAAGGCTTTAATCGGTTATTTAATTTTATTTGTCAAGAAGTGTTCGGAAGGGTCATTTTCAGTTTTATATAAACAACTTATAACCTAGTAATAGTCTGGTGAAAGACTTAAGCCATTGTACAGATTTAATAGTACAAAAATACTGTAGAAGTTTCATAATATCATCTACAATTTAGTAGACATGAACGATAAAACAAATTTATAATAATTTATTAACTAGATTTACATGTACACAATATTATCTTTGTTCAAAAACCAAAAGAGAAGGAAAATACAATAGAATTTTTAAATAGGATGCAACAGTATAGAATAATAATGATAATGGTAATAATGTGTTATCCTTGTAAATGATAATGTTGTAATTGTTGATAAATTAAAGAAAGTTTTTGGTTTTTTTTTCTCAGATTTGTGTATGAAATAATAAATTTAAATTTTGAATCTTATTTGTTTTTGCAATTGTAAAATAAAAAAATATTCAATTAAATTTTGCTGTGTGTTTATTACTTGTGTGTATTGCACATAGTATATTTGTGTGTATTGTGTAAAGATATTCTTAATTAATTTTATTATATTAGAAATTCGCTTAGTTAAGGTTTTAAAATAGTTTAGAATAGAAATTTTTTATAAATTTTATATATGTTTTTAAAGAATTAAGTGAAATAATATTAATATTAACATTTCAATATTTTAGAATTTGAAATATAAATGGCGTATAGGATTGAAAATTATTACATTTTTTCCTTTAATAAATAACTACTAGAATCTCAAAAGATTCAATTTATTAGGCTATAGATTTAAAATTTTAAAAGTAACAAACCATTACTTTCAATCGAAAGTTATAATCATTTTGATCATATTTTAATTTGGTGATTAAATGTCCTTAATTATACAGGTTATCGCAATAAAAAATTATTTTGAATTAAGACAAATGTTCAGTAATTTGTAAAGGCAATTTAAATAATTTATTCTCGTTCTATAACAAGGCGTAGTCACTTAGTTCTTTTTCTTTTTTAAAAACGAGGCTACCATTAATAATATTAGTAGATTTTTTCAAATTCAAAATTAAGACTTGCTATTTAACAATGATTAAATACTATAAAATATTAAACGTTGCTTTAAATAAAAATTTTTCGCATAATATTCTATTAATATTAAATTCTTTACCCTTGAATGCTATATTATGGGTAATAAAACTATTATGGGTAAATTAACGCACCAAAAAATGCAAAACATAAAAAACGTTGTAGATATAAGTGCTGTATAAAGTAAAAATCGTCTAAATAGAGTAAATAGAGAAACTCTTCTTGATACACGTGCACATAACAAAGTTTTGAACATAACATTTTAAACCACAACTATACAAGCTTTGCACGAATTTCTCAATTTCGGATCTTAGAAAATTTCTTAGTTATCTTCTCTTAAAATCTTAGAATCTAAGTTGTGTTCCCGAAAATCTTAAATCTATAGAGTAGATAATGTGGTGACTTTAACTTCATCTTGAAGTTATTGTGAATAAACTTGATAATAATAAATTTTTAATTTTCAGTATTTAAATACTAATATTAAAATAGAATTTCTCTCTAGAGCAATGCTCCCCCTTCCAATGTAAATTATCTTCTTTAAAAGTTGATTATTTGAGAAGGTTAATGTTAGTTTTTACTGAATAATTTGAAAACATTTATTTGCAATCCTGAATATGTCTTGTCGTATTTCCGGTTAAAAATCAAAGCTCTCTAGAGTAGATAGTGTGGTGACTTTGAGTTCAACTTAAAATACTGTAAATAAATTTGGTATTAATAGTCTTTGTATTGGTATTGATTGAATTACAATCACACTATTCAATTTCATTAGATTGGCGATTTTATAATATAATTTCAACATCATTTCTAATGAACTTAGTCTTTATTCTTATATTTAATCCTATCCATCCTGCACCCTCCCTCTACCCCACTTAAATTATGGTATTAAATGTGTGAAAAAATTATTGTATAACCAAACGATGTTGCTTTATATTTGGTATTGTATTAAAATATTTGATCTACGATAATATTTTGTTAATATACGATATAATTAATATATATTTTTAATTTCACTTACCTTTTTACATTTTTATACACATATATTTTATATACAGTTAGATTAAGTTCACAAATCAATTTTCTATTCATATATATTTTTTAGTTAAGGTTAAGAGTTGCCAAGTTACGTATATAATAATTAATCAAATATATTTTTTTTTCTTTATTATTGCATATGTTATATTATTTTTTATAATATTAAAGTATTTAATAAGAAAGTTATTAAATATTATAACTCTTCTTGAAATAGTATTTATTATTTTATTAATAAAATTTTTTTTATTTAAATGTGTGTGTATATGTGTATGGAATTTAATACATTATTGTATTTTCATTCATTCATTAATTTGTTTTTTATTAAAATTAAAAATTATTAAAGAAAAATATTTTAGAGTTGAAATTTATATATTTTTATATATATGTATATATATATATATATTTAAACATTAAAATGTTTATTTTATATATTTTTTTAATTATATAAATTTTATTTTAAATTGACGCCAAGTTAATTAAAATAATTTTAGTTTTCTTTATGGTTGTTTTGTTCTTAATTACATTGTTACTCTTCTATGGTTTCATTATATATAAATTTTTAAATCTAATTATTTTGGGTATCTTTTCTTTTTTAATTTTTAAAAATTTAATTTATTTTTTAAATTATTTTTGTTTTTATTCATTTGATTTGTAATTTTCCTTTTTTTTCTCTATATAAATTTTTAATATTAATTTTCTAATTTCTTATTTTGTTTTTTTTTTTTTATTTTAAATATTAATTTTATGCTTTTAATTTAAAATAATTATAAATATAATATAATTGAATTCTATATATTATATATATATATTTATTTTTAATTTTTTTGTTTTAAATTTTTAATTTTTATTTAAAAATTAGCCAAAAATAATTGTTTTTTTTGTTTTGTTTTCGCTTATATTCACAGTTTGGGTATAAATTTTTTATTCCAAAAAAAATTGCTTTCGTTGTATTTGAGAGAAGTTTTTTTAATTATTTTGTAATATTTAAATTTTATTTATATATAAATATATATATGTATGTAATATATGTATATTATATTTAGGTTTCTGTTTCCATTATAATTGATTTTAATTTTTCTATAATTAATTTTATCTGAAATTAGAAGAAGAAAATAAAAGATTATTATTTAGAATTAATTAAAAAAATTAAATTTTTATATTTTTTATTTGCGTAAAAATATTGTAAATAAGTAATTAATTTTGAAATTTTAAAAATTTTTGTAATTTTTGTTGAAAATTTTATAAAAATATGGCGATTTGGAATAATATCGCGCCCTAAAGGAATTTTATTAATATTATATACAAGATTAAATGTCATATTGTGTAAAATTGGCAAATACATATTTATACAGGGTGTTTGGTATAAGGTGGCATATAATTTCAGAGATGATTCATTAATCAATTTTTAGCAAAAGTTCTTTCAGGTATACTCTTTTTCGAATTATAGATTGTTGAAAAAAAAGGTTTCAGATTTTTGTTACATATAAATAAATTTTTATAATCGTTGGAACCATACAAGGTTGAATAAAAATTGGGTGCTTATTTTACAGACAATCGATTGTTCTTTAGTTTTCGTCTTACAATAAATTTGATTTGAGCTACACTTTTCGAAATAGAGCACGTCAAAATAAGAATTTTCATTTTTTTTTTGCCTTTTTGTTTTAAATTTGTTTGAGAAAACTCGAAATTTATAGAAAATTTGTGTTATTAATTTTTTTTTTCGAAGCACTACAATGAGATCTAAAAGTTAACTCATATAACATTTTCCTCTATCTCACACAGTTTTTTCCACTAAAACGTGTTAAATATGTTTAAAAACATACAAAAAATGCATTATTCATACAATATTAGTCATAATATAATTAGAAATTTAATTCAATAAATATGTTAGGATTTATACTTCTTATAATATTTTTCCTCCTACGGTTATGCTTTAAAACTACTAAAATTATTGTAATAAATGGATTATACTACAAATTACTAGCTTGTTATATACTATTATTACATGCATATTATGTTAAAATATGAGATTTTATTAGTGAAAATTAAGATTGACTTCAAAAAGAATTGGCATTCTTCCGACAATTAGCTTACCAGTTTTAAATTTTAAAATAGACATTTGAGAATTTAAAAATAAAATTAAATGTATGAACACTGTTTAATTTGTTGTAAGAAACACTCCATTTTTAAACTGCAAAAATTTTAGAAATATAGAACATATTGTATAGCATAAAATAGTATATTGTATAACATATTTATTTAAAACCTGTACAATAAACCTGTACATAGGACAATTTAAAAAATTATTGTAGAATAATAATTAATAATTTATTGATTTTTTTTTTTTTTCAAAAAAGCAACAAGTTGTAGAATTTTTTTAAGGCATAACAACAATATTTCTACCACTATTATATATATTCATACATGTATAAAAGTAAATAATCAGTATATATTGCAGTAAAATGTCCTACCGCTTTATACACGTTGTATGTTATACCACCTAAACAGTCAATTTTAATAATACATAATATTGTGCACAAGTATACATACTTATATGTAAAGTATAACAAACGAAAATGGATATTAAATGAAATTACTGTGAATATTTTATATATTTGTTATATTTTTTATGAACATGATATTTAATTTTTAAAATTCTATAAATTTATGATTGTATATACATGTAATAAAATTTATATATGTATGAAATTAATCTATCAAAAAATTACTGTTATTCATCATTCCAATAATATTATAATAACATTGAAAATACATAGTATAACAGTAATATTACTTTATTATGTTTGTATATATTATACAAATTTTTATTCACTAATACTACTATCATTTCTATTACTACCACCTTGTTACTTTATTATTAATAATGGTGTAGAAAAATATACATGTATGTATGTAAGTAGCTATACTATACGCAATATAATCTGTCAGCCATTCATTTATTTATCCATCCATCCATCCATCTATCTACAATATTTCAGTCAAGTTGTAGTCAATCAGGTGATTTTTCAAAATTTATTTTCATTTTTTTATGTATTTGTGTGTAAATATATGTAAATGTACGTATATATATATTTATTAATATTTTTGATTGTTTTCATTTTATACATTTTTTTTATGCTTTATTATCTACTGTTATAACAATTCTATATATACTGTTGCGGCGATAAATTATTGTTGTTGTGTCGTTACTGTTTTTGTAATTATTTTTGCTGTACTTGTTGTATTGTCACTGCGTTCTTGAAATTATTATGAAGTCCAACAAAAAATTTTTTTTTTTTTTATAAAAATAGAAACAAATTAGTAATAAAAAAATAATAACTTTTTTTTTGTTTCGTGAAAATAATAAAATAAAATCATAAAGTATTTTCTGTATATAAGGTTATAAACAATTCTATATAAACACAAATCATAAAAAACAAGAGTAAGTAAGAGAAATTTAAAGCAAAAATGGAAAAAAAAAAAATTGTGAAATGAAAATAAAAATAACAGTTACTTGATAATAATATCCTTGTACATATAAGGACATTTATTGTATATTTTTATGAGTATGAAGGCAATAAATACAAGTAACGGAAACAAGTATACACGATATAAAAAAAAAAACAATATACAATATGAATATGCCGAATATGGAGACGTAAAATAAACTAATGTAAACGTACTAAAAAAAAAGGATATATATAAAAGGATAGCAAGAAAAAAAAATCATGTATTGAAAAAATATATTTTAATATTTTATATACGGTCGACGAAAATTTCATTTTCATATATTATTTATGTACAATCTTTGTATTCATATTACTCGTATATAGTAGGAAAAAATTTGAATAGACCGAATATGAGTGTAAATTTTTATGTTTTGTGTAATATTTTTTCAATATTCTGGTATATTGGTTAGGTATGTGTTGTTTATATGCCGTAATATTTCATATTTTTTATAGGAACAGTATATTGTATTCGTTAATTCGTATATAACACTTATAAAGCAAGAGTTTATGCACTATATGTAAAGCTTATGATATTTGATTCATGTGAGTAATAAGTGATAATGAATTTTGCTGTATATGAAATTTAAAATCTGAAATTTTGGAAAAATATTGGCCAAATAATTATCTGAAATTCTGGTATAAATTAATCGAAACCGAGACGTAATAGCTATTAAAAATAAACCGAAATCTATTATTTATTAAATTGTAATTAGTACTTTGAATAGAAATAATTTGATTAATTGAAAAAAAAAAACTAAATATTAAATTAAAGTTGCCAAAACGAGCTACATATAATCTATTTTTTGGCTAATTTTTGAACAACAACTAAAATTGACTGCGAATTTCCACATCTTTATTGTGTAGCATTATGCAATACCAGGGGTTCAGTTAGCTTTCAAACACAAAACGTATTACTAAAACAAATATAACTTTAAATTTTGAACTAATATGATATTGCTAATGGAAAATTGTAATTTTATGCTTTTACCAATTCCCACGAAATTGTGCTCCTAAAGTAACTATTAATCACGAAATTGTGCTCCTAAAGTAACTATTATAACACAGTTTTATTCAGTTTCAGAAGGGTAAAATCTACCCAAAATCACATAAAAGGTTTCAATACTGGTTCGTAAATGAGTAAAATTGCTTCTATTATGCAAATGTTACTCTTATATTGAGAATCTTTATTCAAGATGATATACTGAATGTCAGTCATTCAATTCTTTGCAGAAAAATTAAGTTAATAATAATATTTTTTCAATTTTATTATAAATTCACTTTCTTATTGAGTAAATATTGTAAAATATTTATGAAATAGTGTAAAATTTCAACAATAAGTATGGCAAAATTTCTAAAATAAGCATAGTAGAAATTACTCAATTGTGGAAATTTTCATTTTTTAGAAGTAATCACTAGTACATTCTCTCTAAGTGTAGAATTTTCGCATGAGCAAATGAATCTCTTTGAATTTTCTTATCAAATTTTAAAAGTGTTTACTGATTAGAAATAATTTTTTGTTATCAGTTTCTCCATGTTTGTATGTATAATTATGAGCTGCTGTTTCGGCACGTCATAGTCCTTTTTCATAGCCCTTCACTTTCTTTTTGATTATCCTTGATTTTCGGAAAGTGAATTTAAACCTTTCTGTTTTCTAAAGATATTATTTTGATTTTCATTCGTTTTTTTTTCTTTCATATTCTATTCTAGCAGGTGGTTGAATTACACCAGTAAAAGTTTGTATGTGTTAAAAATAATAATATAACAAAAATTGAAAAAAAAAATACATTTTCCATATTAAATGAAAATGAAAATATTTTGATATATTATTAAAGGTTAGAAAAATGATATCACAAAATCAAAAAAAAAAAAAAACCAAAATTACAAAATGACGAAAAATAAAAAATTATAAAAAAAGTGACGTGTATGTATGTATGTTCAACGATAGCAGTACATTATAAAAAAGAAACACAAATGAGAGGCAACAAGCGTATATTTAAAGTCAAAGTAACAAAAAAAAAATCAAAAGAAACAAGATGAAAATTAGAGTAGCAGGGAACGGAGTAAGAAAGAGAATAAGTGGTGGCCATATATTAAATACGTGCCAAAATAAATTTATTTTCTTTTTTGCTTTTTTGAATTTCCTCAATTCCAAGAATCGGGAAAAGAAAAATTTTGGTCCTTTATTTGATTT